TTTTTACAGATTATTTGGCAAATTACTTTGTAAGTTGATTATTAAATTGCTATTTACAAATTGATTTATTATTTTTTAATTTATATTACTGTGTTTTTGCTATTTGGTAATAGTAATTATTTTGTTGTTTTTTTGTTATTATATAGTTTAGTTTGATAAGATTTTTTTTAGTAGAATTAGATTCTATTTTAGTTGGTTTAGATTTTTCTTATCAATTTTATTTGTTTTTATTTTAAAAAAATTAATACTATATTAGTATTATAATAGACAAGTTATTAATTTTAATTAAAAGTTATATTCATCTAGTTTTAGAACAAACCTTAAACTTCTATATTATATTTAGTTATGATCTGCTTAGTAACTTTTGGTTTTTTTGAAGATTCAAAACTTATTTAAGAACTTTTATTTTTTAGACATATTAACTAGAAGTTGTTTAACCTATTAAGATTTTTACTCTACAATAAAATATCACCAATTTAATAATATTTTTTATAAAAAATAAATAATAATAAAATAAATAATAAAAAAAAATTATAAAAGCATTATATTAGAAAAAGTAAATACTGATATTGAATACCAATACTAAGAAATCTAAGACTAAACTAAAAATCTAAGAAAATTATTATTAAAAAGAAAAAATTTGTCAACAAAACAAAATCTTCTAATTATTTAGAGTAATAATCTATTATATAGTATAAAAAACCTGAAATAAAAAGCAAAAAAAATACTATAGCTAATATTGGGCTCTAAACCAAAGTTAACCCTACTAAACTTATAAACAAAATTATAAAATTTATAAAATTTAAAAATTTTTAAAAAATATTTTATATATAGTATTATTTTTTAAGCGAATCTATTTGTTGTTGCCGGTGACAGTACTGGACATGTGACTTTCATTCGATTAGCCAACATGCAACTAACTGTAATTGACCAATTATAACCAATCACATAATTATCATTTTATATAGTTAAAAAAATTAAAAAAAAAAGTACACATATAATAAAAACAATATTGTACTATTACATATTAAAAAAATAAATAATGTAATGCAAGTTGAAATCGCAACACTACATATAATAAAAAAAAAAAAAAGCACAACAAAAAAAAACTATACGGGAGGTCAAAAGTAGAAACCACCAAATTTATTTTTAAGTAAATTTTTTCTAGACTTAAAATTAAAATATCTCAATAACTATTAAACCAAACTTGACAAATATTTTTTTATTTTAATTCTATATAGTTATAGAATTAAAATAAAAAAAATTGTCAAGTTTGGTTTAATAGTTGTTGAGATATTTTAATTTTAAGTCTAGAAAAAATTTACTTAAAAATAAATTTGGTGGTTTCTATTTTGACCTCCCATATAATTAAACTACATAAAAACAAATAGCGCATCCTATAACAAAAGCAATGAAAGCAACAACACCAACAACTTCAATAGCAACAACGTCAACAGCAAAATCAAGTCCAAAAAAAGAAAAAAATATTAATAAATATAGAAAAAAAAGCAACATAAGTAGCACAAATAAGATAACACACCTAACTCCAATGACTATTTCAATTACTCCAATTGCAACAACTCAAACATTGAATTCAAGTCTGAAGGAAGAGAACATTAGTAACTACAAGAAAAGAAAAGAAGCAAAACAACATGAACATTAACTTATCCAACTTCAATGATGATTTTGATTACTCCAAGAGCAACAACTTCAATGACAAATTCAAGTATAGAAGAAGAGAAACATTAGTAACTACAAGAAAAGCAAAGAAACAAAACAACACAAATATTAACTTACCTGACTCCAATGATGATTTCAATTACTCCAAGTACAATAACTTCAATGACCAATTTAAGTCTGGAAGAAAAGGAATCCTCTACAACTTTAATTAGAAGATCAAAAAAGTTTACTTAATAAAAAAATAGTTTTCATAGTACCTCTAGTAAAAAAACTTTTGGGATTCCAGCTACTATTAAAATTTATAAGTAATGTCTGCTGATTTTTGCTATGAAGCTTATATCTTTTAGCTGTAAACTATTACTTAAATAATTATTATAGCTTAACTATTTTAAACAACTTAGCTAATTAGAATCTAATTACTTAGAAAATCAAAAACAATAAATATATTTTTATAATTTAAATATAAATTATAACTAATTTTTACTCTAGGTGATATCACCCAGTATTATAAATTTTTTATTACAAATAAAATAAATTTAAGGTTAGAAATTAGAGTTGGATTTAGATTAGATTAAAAGAGTTTAAATATATGTAAAATTTGATATTGAAAACTTTTGCTTAGAAGCCGGAGCATAGTTTTTATAATAAAATCTTGAGTTTTTTGGTTTTTTTTCTTTTTTTCACTTTGTTTTAGTTATACAAGATCTAGTGATTTGATTGGTTTTTATACCACTAGGTGATATTAGCTAGGGTGAAAGTTAGCAATAGTCTTAAATATAATATTTTAAATTTAAACTTGGTATATAAATTATAAAAATTTACAAAATTTGCTAAATATTATTATTTAATATAAATTTGGTTTATTTATATAGTAAGGGACGTGACAAAAATCAATTCTTAATTGTTTCATATTTAGCTATATTACAAAAGATATATATTTAAAAATATATAGTATTAAAGATATATAGAAGATTATTAACTAAATTTTTTGTTATATTGTAATATAGTTATTAGCTCAACAGAGTACAATGTGATGATCACGTAATACTAACAAACTAACAAACTTTTTGCTTATTTATTTATTTATTTTATAATATTATTATGTTATTATTGTTATATATAGATCATTATGCATAGCAATATTGGGATAGTAATTATCAAACGAGTTTGTAACTAGAGAGGGATGTAATATAGTAATTTTTGAAACTAGTCTAGGAAATAGATAGTTAAGCATTAATAATCAATTTTTTTATAAAAACAGTTATAAAAGTCTTATAAAAAGGTATCATTCACTGTCTCAAGTCCTATTTTATATAAATAAAAGCCTCTTTATCTTGAATTTCTTCTAAAAAACCTATTCACTCAGTCATTCATCTTATATTTGGTGATAATGACAGGACCTCATGTCATCTACATAGAGAAACTCAATTTGAAAAGGGCCTGTTCTATTAAATTAAGTCCCGATCTATATGCACTGTTGTTTTTTTTAACAGTCTTGTTCTTATAATCATCGATCAATGTTTTGCTAATATCAGCAAAATTTAAAAGGTGCTATATATACAACCCCTGCTGATTGTTATCGTTAGTGATTACTAACAATATATAACAAAAAATTTGTTAAATTTTTTTAAACTTCAATATTAATTTTCTTGATAACTATCAATTTAAATTGGCTTAAATTTTCCCAAATATAGTACAGTCTGAGAATATACCAAATTTGGTCATTGATGATCATACCTTATTTAGTAAAGATCATCTATCGGACTATTCTAGACTTTCCTTCCAGATTATTCCACGTGCTATGTTAGTTGGCCAATAAAATCAAGAAGTTAAATAATATTTTTATTAATCCAAAAAAATTCAAAAATTATCTAGAAACTAAAAAATATAATCTTACATCTTATTCATTCGCATAATCTCAAAATGATATATGATGCTTATATTGATGATTTAGGGTTTGCAACCACGATTAATACTGTAATAAAACATTAGATTCGGAATCTATAAGAGTTTATGAGCTTTACTATATATGGCTCCTGAAGTTATATGCGAAAACTTCAGAACTTATATATTTATTCTTTTGTAATGTCATGTAAAAAAATTTCTTTTAGATCCGCTGTATTTTCTATGAATTAAAGGCCATGTTATACTGAACTTTTAAATAAGTGTTGGAATAAAGATCCAAAAACAACCAACAGCTTCAGAAATTCATGAACTATTTAAATTGGGAAAATAACTATAGAACTATCAACTGAATTTTTAAATCCGATAATAAAATAGTGATAAAGAATAAAGCATTTGATATTGATAGTGATTATTATTCAATTTATAGCAGTAAATTTAGTTTAATTATTGAAATCACTTCAAATTAAATAAAACTCAAGTGATATTAATTTTTAAGATATCGTAACTGACATAACTTTTAATACAGCATTATTACTGTATTATTGTAATATAATTTATTTAAATTTAATTACAGAATTAAATAAATAAAAAAATAAATGAATTTCAAAAAAAAAAGGAAAAATTGACTCAAAAAAAAAAGGGTACCAATACCCAGACGATTAATTACTCTCATCCTTTTAAATGCCAATTCGCTTCAAAACTGCCATTTGTTACAGATACGGAATTTGTGTGACCAAGAATAAAGACAAATTCTGTAATTCAGTAATCGTATTAACAGGTTAGTTTTTTAATCTAAAATATTTAAAAGTTACATCTTAAAAAAATAATAGTAATATAATTTATTTCCTTAGTATTACCTATCCTACGATTCATCCTTATTTTTATCACTTCCAATTTCATTTCTATAGCGATTATTAAGAACGAATTTTCCACCAGAATGTTCCATCTTAGTAAATTTTTGATAGTATTTGAACATTTATGTTCACCCTTTTTGACTTCGCCCACATCATCTTATAAAATAAACCATAATTAACCATTCGAGAACATAAACATGAGATAATACAGTAATAACATACCATAAGCTATTCTTCTAATTCTTCTAGTGTAGCTTGTCCAGACATTCTGTACTTGAAAGCATCCTGTGGTTAGCTTCATAATGATCGAGCATGATTGAAATGTCATCTTGTTTTTAAGATATGTCTCCAAGTTCAAAGAGAAGTCCAAAGTTAAAAATGAGAACTGAATATTTTCCCATTTTTGTCGTTAAAAAAAAAAAAAAAAAAAAACTATAAGAAATCGCAAGTCGAACGATAAATAAGCATACTAATTGACGCACCCTTCAGGGATGTAGCAATACAACCCATAAACCTTCCATATTCTTTCTTGTCACAAAGTACTTGGAACGTGGTAGGTTAACAAGAAATAAATGCATCTTAACAAGCGACTAACAAAAAAAAAAAGCTTTATAAATATTCGTCTAAGGCATTGTAATCATATGATTTGATTACGGTTCCATGATAAAAACAATATACTCACTTAACACTAAAATAATCATCTTACATTTTCCAGTTTGCAAATACGCTAAAAGCCCAAGAAGTCATAAACGTTATGATCAATAGAACCACGCCGGAAATAACTTTAAATAATACAATACCTGGAATATACAAACCTCTAAATTAGATAATAAAGTGTCATTAGTACAGTAGTATAATTAACTCAAATT